AACAGTGAGTTTCTAGATAGAAAGGACTGTGGCTTATTTATTAACTGTTATGGGCTGAACTGTGTTCTTCCCCAAAATTCATATGTTGAGACTATAACCCCCAATATCTCAGAATGTTACTGCATTTGGAGTAGAGACTTTAAAGAAGTAATCAAGGTAAAAGAAGGTCATAAGAGTAGGCCCTAATCTAATCTGACTTGTGTACTTATAAGGAGAGGAAATTTGGACACACACAAGAGACACCAGGGGTGCACGGACACAAAGAAAAGACCATGTGAGGACACAGCAAGAAGGCAGCCTCCGAAAACAAAGGAAAGAGGCTTCAGAAGAAACCAAATCTGCCGACACCTTGATTTTGGACTTTTAGCCTCCAGAACTATGGGTAAATTAATTTCTCTTGTTTAAGCCACGCAGTCTGTGGTATTTTGTTAAGGAAGTCCTAGCAAATTAAAACTATAACATATAGCATAAGATCTGTCACATAGTAATTATTCAATATGTATTACTGATTTTAATATCTCCATCTCAAGAGACAAGGACTGTCACAGTACTCTAAGCACTCAGCTCAGTAACAGCACATGATACTTACAAATACTAACAGAAAATATGAATGAGTTTGACTGAAGCATAGCCCATAGAGGGCTCCAAAAGCTGAATCTGTGAGCTTTATTCCTAAACAACCGGTGCAAAACAGAAGATTTTGAGAATACCACAAGACTAGGGCTGAAATTTCATCAAAATTAGCTAAATGAGGGTATGTATGTGAATGCACTTGAGGGCTAGAGGGGGCATGTGGTACAAGACAAAGAATGGGGAACAGTTAAACATAAAATATATCACATATTTATAAGATAGTAATTAGGATCAAATATCTGATACTAGTCACATTTAGAACCTACAAACTAAAATTATTCTGGCTAACATATTTAATTTTTGTCCACTTTATCCTCAAGGGAGAATCTGGGTAAACACTTAGGCCACATGTACAGCTTCCAGAATGTTGGCTTTTGTCTTCTATGTACATGCTAGTTTTTTTCCCCAAATGGCCAAGTGTTCTGCAAAACAGAACACTGTAAGCTTTCAAATACTCATGGGAGTTTGTAAAAGTAATACAACATTCATGTAATTTCCACTTGCTACACAACAGACCCTGAGGTTATTTTCCTAATACATAACAAGTTGTTCTGTTGCTAAGAAGAAAAGAAAGGCTGAAGATATGAAAAAATCTGAACAGAGCCGAAATCATGCTTTTGAATTATATGACACATTTTGCATCTAAAACAGTGGAGAAATGAAGTTACAAGTGTATCATGTCAACTCTAACTGTGAGATAGAGCCATATTCTTTGATTATACAACTGCATTCTGTAGTAAAAGGTTATTATGCACCAGAAATCATTGCTTCTTTCATAAAAGCAATATTATTTCAATGTGGTTATAATTAAGTTACATGGGGTGGGGTGGGGGGAGAATCTGGATTGATCCTTTCTACTGGCTTTTTCTAACCGCTCAAATTCATTTTTCACTATCAGTCCCCAGATCTGTTCCAAAGTAAGATTAAATTTTAAATGTGGTCCAGGGAATATACTAATAAGCACAAAGTACATAGGGTCATTCTAAAGCAAATATGTAGGTACCCACTAAGGAAACAATTTATAAACAATTAAAGCATAATTTAAATAATAATGATAACAAGAATAAATATATGAATGACTAATCTTTATGGAATACTTCTCACATCTCAGGCACTATGCTAAGGGCCAAACATATTCAAGTTGAACCACATGAAAATGGCAATTTCGTAAGGTTTAACCTAATACATTTTCTCATCTAATCCTTACAACTACCCAGTGACAAGAGTACTATAATTATCCCTATTTTCAGATAAGGGAACTAAAATTTAGAGGACTTAACTTGATCAAGTTAAAGAACTAGGAAATAACACTAGGACTGAAGCCCAGGTGTACATCCAAAGCCCAGGCTCTTCTTACCTACTGCACAGTTTCAGTAACCTCTATGTCTTGAAAAACTAACAGGATGAGAGTGTAGGCACTCAAGTACTCTCACACACTGCTCAAGGCCACTATATAGACACTTGTGCAACTGTACCTTCACCAAGAAGGCAGCAAGGGAATCAAAGGAGACTGACATCCAGCTCATTCTTTACCAGCCAAACTGTGGCCCTGTTGCAGATGCCATCTACGCTGAAAAGGAGATTCTCTCAGTCCCACAAAACTGCTATACTGGTTAATAAGTGACTCTGATGCTGCTAGAAGATTTTTTAAATTGTGAGAAAATTTTAACAACACAGTTTAAAAGGCTTAAAAGAGATTATTATATAATCTTTGATCCAGAAATTTCACTTTAAGGAATTTATCTTCAGGAAATAATTAAGGATATACATAAACTTTATGCCATATTCATCAGTGTTATAATAGAGAAAAAAGCTAAAAAATCTAATACTTCCAACAATAGGGTAGTAGCTACTATAATACATCCATATGATAAAAATTATATGGTAAAAATACATTAACTCATAACCTTTTCACAAAATATTACATGAATGAAAATGTTTACAAGAGTTATATTTTCATTTTAGTAAAAATATTATTCATACATGTATTTCATATATAATATCTGTGCATGTGTGTGTGTGGCAGAGAGAGAGGGAGGGAGGGAGAGAGGGAAAGAAAAAGAGAGAAAACACTAGGCAACAGGATTATAGGTTGCTTTAATTTTCTTTGTTTTTATCCTCATAAATTTTTCTACATGATATACAGTGAAAAGTAAAAAAAAAAAAAAAAAAAAAAAAAAAAAACCCAAAAAAAAAAAAAAAAAAAAAAAAAAAAAAACCCTAAACAACAACAAGATATAAATGTCCTGATACAAAGCTTAAAAACTGTTAGATACCAAGAGTAGCTATATAAAAGTTCATTCTGCCTCTTAACTTGGAATTAAAGTATGCAATTTACTGTGGTCTAAACTAAGACAAGAAATACTTAACTTCATGTAGAAATGAGAAATCCAGGTCATTCTAACAGGTGGCCTGAGTTAAGAACCACTGCCCATAAATACAGACATAAAGCAGAAACTGTATTCTGAATATCTTTAGATAACTGAAAGTTTGCGTTAGTTTTTTAAAAATAAAAAGCATCTTACTTGTATATCATCTGTGAAGAAACAGAATTCTCAACAGAGTGAGAAATAGAGTAATGACCCCTGCCAGCTGGGAAAGGGCCTGGCACTATCAGCCAGGCCTTGGTGTATTCATTTGAAACATAAAAACAATTTTAGGGACTTCCCTGGTGGTCCAGGGGTTAAGAATCTGCCTTCCAATGCAGGGGACGCAGGGTCCATCCCTGGTCGGGGTACTGAGATCCCACATGCCTTAGGGCAACTAATCCCACGTGCCGCAACTACTGAGCCCGCATGCTCTGGAGCCCACGTGCCACAACTAGAGAGAAGCCTGCACAATGCGACGAAGATCCTGTGTGCTGCAATTAAGACGCGACACAGCAAAATAATTTTAAAAAATGAAAAATAAAAAAAACATAAACAATTTTACAGAACACCACTCTGTGACCATGATGGATCAAGATAAAAAGACCACTCCATAATCATGTCTGAACACAGACAAAAGTATGAACACTGTCCTAACCACAAAAATAACCAAATATAATCCTATCCTGGGTAAGATGAATGACTGCCGCTTCTTTACCAATCACAAGTTTAGCCTTGCTCCATGCTTCTTGCCTTCCAGGTTCTTAAAATACCTAGTGCCCAAATTATTCCCACTTCCTAAGAGCATCTAATCCACTGCAAAGCCCTACTTCCTTAAACCCTCCCCAAAATCACTTAATGCTAGCTCAAATCCTATATGGCTCCCCATGATATACATTCTCCTTTATTACAATGTATCAATAAATTCATCTTGTTTAACTACAGATTATTTCTGGAGGTCTCCCCTGGAGGGCATTAACAGAGTTGGGACTACAGATTTGAGTACAGGGTGGGATTAAGAGTAAAATAATAAAATTATATAAAAATACATGCAGTCTATAGAACAGATAACGTCTATCTACCTAAAGGGGGTCTTTTGATAAGTAAACTTATCCACAATAAGTTTCCACAAATTCGAAATTACCAGTGTTTATCAGCACTGGTGATGTTGACTAAATAAATAAATCTTAAATTCTCAACTATTCAGTTTTCCATTTTACCTGAAAAAAATAAGAATCTAAGTATAAAAAGTGAAAGGTAAATCAAGAAACTAAACCCTGAACACAATACTTAGAATAATAAAATTCTCTAATCTATTATCTAATAATTTAATAAATGGATTAGCAAATATTATATATAGGATGGATAAACAACAAGGTCCTACTGTATAGCACAGGGAACTACACTCAACATCTTGTGATAAACCATAATGGAAAAGAATATGAAAAAGAATATATATATATATGTATAACTGAGTCATTTTGCTGTACAGCAGAAATTAAACACAACATTGTAAATCAACTATACATCAATAAAATTTTTTTAAAAAGAATAAAATCCTCTAATTTAAATATGTAATTTAACAAATGAATTTAATAATTAAATATTTAAGTATATTATTAGTTATTCATCAAGAAGTTTCTAGGGCTTCCCTGGTGGCGCAGCGGTTGAGAGTCCGCCTGCCGATGCAGGGGACACAGGTTCGTGCCCCGGTCCGGGAAGATCCCACGTGACGCGGAGCGGCTGGGCCCGTGAGCCATGGCTGCTGAGCCTGCGCGTCCGGAGCCTGTGCTCCGCAGCGGGAGAGGCCACAGCAGTGAGAGGCCCACATATCGCAAAAAAAAAAACAAAAAAAAAAACAAAAAAAAAAAAGAAGTTTCTAAATACAGTAATATGTCGTTAAGATTAATTTATCTATCTGAAATATAGGCAAGCTTTATTTAAATTTTAAACTATCTTCTCACTGATCACCAAAGTCAACCTTGCCCAGTGCATCCTTACCTCCTGGGTCCTTATCTGGATTGTACTCTAAAGCATTGCTACAGATGAGGTCAATATCTTTCAGGAAATCCTTAGCAGTCAGGTAATTATGCTTATCAATTTTAGTGATTACTGTTGATAAATCCATTGGTTCCTTGATTACTTCAAGATAATCTGAAACCTAAAACAGGATATTTTAATGAAAATTACTTCTGAGATTTCATATAATCTACTCATAAAAACATAAAAGAAAACCATACAGTTATTTTAAAATTAAATCTAGATATCTAGGAAATAATTACAGATAAGGATAAAATTATAGAGCAATTTATGCCACTAAAAATACTATGTCATACTTTCCATGAAAAGCTTCAGTTTCAAGTCACATCTAAATCAACTCTGAAAAGTTTCTCATCTTGAAATATGAAACAAACTGTGTCAGCTTTTTTTTTTTTAAAATCCTTTGGATACACCTGAGAAGAAAATGTATTGGTAAAAATACCCAATAAGCATCAATAAATGTTACCTCAAGAAAAGAATTTTTTAAGGAAAATAAAAAGAAACACAGATTTTTTTTTTCTTATTATTAGAGATGTTCTTGGGTAAATCTCTTTAAAATCTCTAAACAAAAAAATTATCTGTCTTTTTCAGTTTTCCAGGATGAATCGTTTCATGGAAAGAGTTTTCTGCTCCTTTGGATTCATTACAAACATTCTGAGTCAACTGTATAACAAAAGTAAGTATTGCTTTCATGACTAGAAAAAATTTACTGGCCTTGTCCCTAAATATAAACAAATCTACAAGCAAAAAATACATTTTGCTCAGTGTGATTTTCTGGGAGATAACCCAAAATAGAGATATTGGTCATGACTGCCCAATAAATTGTATGTTTTATATCATTTGACCAATAAGAAAGCTCTTCCAACCTATATATCCACAGGTATACCTTGTTTTATTGCACTTGCCTTTACTGCACTTTGCAGATATTGCATTTTTTTTAGAAATTGAAGGTTTGTGGCAATCCTGTGTTGTCAGATCATGGTTAGCACTTTTTAGCAATAAAGTATTTTTTAATTAAGGTATGTACATTTTTTGTAGACATAATGCCATTGCATACTTAAAGAAGACTACAGTATAGTGTACACATAACTTTTATATACACTGAGAAACCAAAGAATTCGTGTGACTCACTTTATTGCAATATTCACTTTACTGCAGTGGTCTAGAACTGAACCCACAATATCTCCAAGGTGTGTATGACTGCATTGTCTTCCTTAATGCAAATCTCAAATCAAGTAATTAGGTGTGACATAAACACAGTCTTAGAAATGTCTAATTAGTCCGGGACCAAATTCTGGGAATAGGGTAATTTTTGTTCTATGAAACTAAAGGCTAGTTTTCTCCATTGCAGATGGCACTGATGCTTTTTTTTTTTTTTGGCCTCGGCATGTGGGATCTTGCCCAGCCAGGGATCAAACTCATGCCCCCTGCATTGGGAGCGTGGAGCCTTAACCACTGGACCACCAGTGCAGTCCACTGATGCCTTTTTAAAAATTTACATACTGAATATATATTCATATGAATAAATACACATATATGCATATACAAAAACATATGCATATATATGCACATACATATTATTTATGTTTTTAAATTTTTAGGTAGATGTGTGTGCATGTTTTAATTTATTTTTCATTCTCTAGGAGCTAAAAAGCCAGCCAATCTCCTTATAGGGGAGATAGTGGAGCTATACTCGACAAGGAACAGTTCAGAAGGTATTAGTTGGATCCTTGGCTCTGACAACTGACATGTATTGTGTACACGTGGAAAACATTTTATAAACTTTTGCACTATAAAAATTTATATTACTGGGGCTTCCCTGGTGGCGCAGTGGTTGAGGGTCCGCCTGCCGATGCAGGGGACATGGGTTCATGCCCCAGTCTGGGAGGATCCCACATGCTGCGGAGCGGCTGGGCCCGTGGGCCATGGCCGCTGGGCCTGTGCGTCCGGAGCCTGTGCTCCGCAGAGGGAGAGGCCACAACAGTGAGAGGCCCGCATACCGCAAAAAAAAAAAAAAAAAAATTTATATTACTAAAGACCATAAAATTTTAGCACCTATGCTTATTTAAATTCAACACTTATTTTCTAAACTTTTGTTTCCTCTGCAATTTGCTTTGGAATTTGATAAAGTTTTTAGACATTTCAAATTCATTATTTTAATACAAGTTTTTGTGTTTCAGGTTATCAAAATGTTATTTTAGTTTCCCCTCTCTATCTGTCCCAGAGACCCCTAAGTTTTCAGCCTTAAAAGTAAACAAAGAAGCAGTAGCAAAATGAATCTGAAAAAGAAAAGGAAAAAGAGAAAACATCATCCTAAAATTAAAGTTTTAACTGGCCAACATTTTCTATCCCCTCCCAGTGCCTTACCATCATTTATAAAACTTTCAGTCTATCACAGATGGCATTTGAAATCTGACAATCTCTTCTGGTTAGACAGAAAAAGTTTTCCTGGACAAAGGCAAAACTGGTTCACTCCCAGCATAGGAGGCTTACTTGGGGGCAAGTCCCTATCAATTAAGTGTCAGAGTTCCCATACCCAATTTGAAAAAAAAATAAACATTTATAACAATCTTTAAAGTGGGCTGATAGCTTTAAGACTTTCTGAAAATACCACGAGGGAAAAAATATGCTTCACGAATATAAAATATGTATTAATTGCAAGAGCAAATAGGCAAGTCCTGTTATTCCAGTAGAAAAAGATTGACAGCTGTGATATAAAGAATGTGGACTTCGAATTTTAAGAAACAGTGTGTGCTGGCTGCGTCACTTGCCAGTAAGCCTCAGTTTCTTCAACTGCAACATAATAATGACCTTGTGGGGCTGCTGAAAGGATCAAATGGCTAAAACTATGTATTGTGGATAAACATACAAATAAAATTAAACACAGTCCCTTTATTCCCAAAAAGGGGAGGTGGGGGGAATAGATATTTTCAGGTTTTCCAAGGGGAAAAAACATAATGCTAGCTCACAGGCATAGATGAGGTAATGATTCCAAAGGAATCTGCTCTGATCCAAGAGTACAGATTTCACAACGAGGACACAACATTAAACTCTGCATCACTTCATAATTCAAATGTAAAAAAAGATGAAGAAAAAAATTAAAACTAAAAACACCAAAGCTGTTCAAACATGGAGTCTGAACTATAAGAAGAATGCCAGTAAAGACTGCATTATGTGCATCCACACACTATATTATCCCAGGATAAAACAAAACAAAATAAAATTTATTCTACAGTATTATAGTAGATTCCAAATGGAAAATTTCTTTTCTCATCATCACAAACCATGCTCCCACAAGGACACAAAACAATACACATAGAAAGTGAGAAATTTTCCACTCGGAGCAGAGAAAATTCTTGGAGAGAAAAATAACAGGCTGTGCTTATAACCTCATAGAGCATCTTAGTCACAGACATTTCCAAAATATGAAAGACAAATTTCAGGTTTCTTAGCTACCTCTTTCAGTAAGGAATACACAATTTGGGAAATGCCAATTTTAATTGGTATTGATTGGTTAATACCAATATTCTTTTGGAGAGCAGGATTTATCCTGGAATAAAAATAGTCTAGTATGGACATTTCACTAAAGTAACTTTTAATCCTCTTCTTAAATGAAGAGTAGGAGATCACAAAGATCAATACTAATCAAGAGGACATATACAAATTGTCATTAATTTCATCCAAAAGTCACCAGATGTTTGCTGATGACATTGGTAGTTATCACATGGATTAAAATTTTACAGGCTAGGGGTAATATTCATCCATGCCTTTGTTTTTTTCCTTCCAAAAAAAGATGTCAACATTTTTTTCTTTTAGCCAGTTCAACTTCACTGTTTGCACACTACTGAAACAAGACCTCTTCAATATCCACCGGTTTGCTGAAGATGTTAAAGCGTTTATCTGTGGCCAGCCTCTTGGTTACATCCCTGAGAAACAACCGCAACTCTCTTAAAGTATTTTCCTCCTGGTCCTCCATCCGAATTTTTTCTGATTCTGATAATTGACGAGGTGGAGAAGGCAGAGCAAGTGGAAGAACTTCCATAGCACAAAGACCTAAAGAAAGTAGAAGAAAATGTTAAGATTCCAACATGGCAGGGTCAGGACCTCAATTACTTTTCTGACACTCTCTCAAAATGTTTTTTTAAGAAAAGGAGAATTCCAAATACATGTGAACCATGTGAATTCAGCAGGTAAAAATTTGAATGGAAACCAAAAGTACATTAGGGAATAGCTTTACTTTTATAAAATAACTTACAGCAGGACGTCTTTAAAGCACAAATGATATGATTTTAAATAATCTGATTCTGAGATATTATTTACATACAACTTTAAGAAAAAGATTTCAAATCAACATAAATATCTTCAGGTGAAGTACCTGTATACTGATTTGCTGAAGTCAACCTTATTTAAAGACTGTTTCTCAAAATGACATTGCCTTATATGCATGAAATTTAAACGGGCAAAGAATAATTCTTTGATCCTTCCCATTCCCAAAGACTTCTACTGTTAGACAAATCTCCTACCCTCATATTCTTACTACAACACAGTTGGGATAGTAAATGGCACCTGCAGGGAGTGGGAAAAAAAAAGTAGTAACTAAAAAAAAGAATCCCAAAGACATGAAGATGGAAAACCCAGGCTTAAGTGTGATATATGAAATCTATGGTATTCACTATCTACTGTAAAACAAACAAAACATCATCTTAGAAGGTAAAGTATTAACTTGCCTAACCATAATGCTCTCTAATTCCCTAAAAGATTTTCCTGATATCACAATGAAGCTCAGGATTAAAATCCTAAGTATTCTCGCCAATTTCTAAATAGCCCCTAAGATGAAAAATGAAAGTCAACAGGAGCAACTCAAAAAGAAAAGAATTATGTTCAGCCTTAACACAGAAAATTCAGATCTACGGGACTAAAATATGTCTAGGAACATGCAGGATACTTTATTAAAATGAATCATTTTAATAATGAAATATTTTAAATGCTGTTATTTAGATTAACAGAAGGCAACAACCAATAATCAGAAGGTATAACTTCCATGTTGAATATTCCAAAGTTTCTGTGGGGAAAACCCCACAGCTATAGTCATTTGATAGATGGTCATCTTAAAAGCACTGAGAAAATGTGAAAAGGAACCACTAAAGGACAATAAAATTATTAAAGTATTGGATAATATAGCCACTGAAAAACAAAGAAGTATGAAAAAGCAAGGAATTAGCACGGATGGGAAATGTATTTAATATCCTATAAGAACAGCTACGAGAAACAAAAAGCAGAACAAAAAGAAAGAGGCTTAAATTTTTTACCAAACAGGACTGCTATTTTCTAGAAGAGGATGAAAGATTAATAAGCAAGGGGATCTTATCTTTTTTGCACCTTTAGTATTAGGAAAAGAAACTCTCTTTTGCATGACTTAGCATGCAGTCCTTACTTAAGTCAGGGGGCTGAAAATCTAATTTTGAGGCCCCTCTTAATGCTATTAGGCCCAAATCCAAGAAAACTCTAATGCTTAAAGAAAGCCATGATAGATTTCCAAGTGTCTAGCATAATATAGCTAACATAATAGGTGCTCAATAAATATTTGAAAAATCAATCAATAAATAAGATAAACCAGAAAAGGCAAATGTTCTAACCAGTTCTTGGCCCAACAAAACTACCCTGGCCCAGAAAGCAATAAGCACAACACCTGTTGTTCACAACCTCATAGTTCCAGTCCTTAGTACTTAAAGTGACTAAAACACAGCAGAACCAAAGACATTTTCTATGACTTTTTGAGCCTCAGAATGTGAAATCTACCAGAGCATCTGGACTGAAGTGATAAGGAGACTACATAAACAGTCACTCATTAGTAAAGCTTTAACAATGAGGCTGTACTTCCCAATCTCCTCAAGTCAGGTAAACACAATGGCCACTTCCACATGTGTTCATCTAAAGTTAAACAAAACCTGAAAAACTGTCTTCATTTCCACAAAGAAATGGGTTTTTTAAAAAGATGACTCCAAGATAGGGTATCTCTTAACTCCAACCCACCCATTTTCCTAAAGGCTTTAGGAACTTTACCAGTGTGTTTCCTTCGTGGTGGAGCCATTGAGGCCTGATTGAGAATCAGTTCTTGGAAAAACTTTCTTCTGTCCTCTTCAATAGGCCTTTGAATATACAAGACCTCTTCGTACTGTATTCTAAAGATACATTTAACCTACACACATACACACACACACAAAGACATTAAATATTTAGAGAATTAAAAGCTTACATATTATACCAAATTATAATTTCTTCAACTTCGGTACCATTTTCAATGTTCATTGAACATTCACAAGCGGTTAAGGTTAACCTAGTCTTAGGCTATGCTGTTGAGAGGTTCAACCTCATGGAATAAACAAGAATGAAAGAATGATCCAGTTGTTCAAGTCATTAATAAATTATACTATAATATAAAAAAGGACAGTTGATTGTAATAGTCAGATGGCAACAATCTCAAAGAGCTGTTGCATAAGAGCTGAAAAGTAATTATCTACAGCCTATTTACAATAGAGAGCTGGGAGGATGCTAACAACATTGCCTTATCTTAAGCGGTTTCTGTGTGCTTCCTATCCACTAACTTCCCTTCCTGGGCTCTTTCCC